CATCTTGAGAAGCATGGGGTTTCTCACACCCAGTTGTGGGCAACAGTGAGAGAGGGCCTCTGTCATCACGCAGCTCTGTGAGGTCTGGGTGGCTGCTATTAGTGTGGAAATGGGGATCAGATGAGACTTAGAACTCAACCCAGGAATGAGGGCATAGAAAGGTCAGTGTGTGTGTGTGTTGTGGTGAAAAGGGTTGGTATAAATTAAATATACTAAAGGGGAGGATCTCACTTCCTATTTGTTCTGACTTAGGTATCCTACTGATGAGGCCAGGGACTGGGAGGTGGAGGGCAGAGAAAAGGTGCTGACTTTGCCAAGCTTTTCTATTCCAGGAGACCAAGGAGCATTTCAGGGGGCAGAACATGGGACTATGGAAGCCCAGACCAAACCAGCACTGATGTCCTGGCCTATCTGTTCTGACTCTGCCATCCAACCCATTAGTTGGGCTGTTGTACTCTTTGAATGGACTGCAGCTGCCCAGTATGGATGTGTGGACCTTCACACGCCTCCTGAGGATCTTCAATAAAGCCCCCTGAACCTGCCTGCCCTCTTGCCTCTTTTTTTTTGGTGTCTTGCTTTGTGATTTCTATCCTCATCTTTCTGAGGGTCCTTCCCTGCCAACCTGACTCTCCCTTAGGGCTTTAGGACCCTTGATTATGGAGCATAACTGAATTAATATGTGTGTGGCTAGTCTAGCCGCTACTCATGGGGCTGAAAGGGAACTGCTGGTAAGAGCCTTGGGTGTCCTGTTAACTACAACTAGTGCCACACCACTCCTTGGTAAAGACCCATCAGCTTGGGATGGGCACTGTGGACAAATGGCACTGTTGCCATCCCCTGGTTGGAGTGCACACAGCTCCACAGCGGGGTTTAATGCTGCATTTCAGTCCTGGGCCAGGCACCACCATGCAGGGCAGGACCCCGGTAGAGGAGCTCTGTTGGGTTCTTCTTTAACCCCTAAGGCATTTCCAGTCTTTATCGTCACCTCCCTCCCTTTTTGTCTAGAGAAGCCTGCATCCTTTTCCCAGCCTTATAAAATCTCTGCCTTACAGAAGAGCAAGAGTGTGAGAGGAGGAATTAGTGGGAGGGTTCACTGGCTACCAGGACCTTCTAAGGGGGAGACTTCCTCTCTCTGAGCAGAGCCTCCAGACCCTTTGTCTAAATAATAACGATCCCTCACATTGTTTGAACTCCAGCATTTATAAAGCATTTTCATATCCCTCCTTTCTACTGTTCCAAACAACTCACTCTTCATTCCCACTCTTAGGGGAACTGGTGAGCTGGAGAGGCAACCTCTCAGTCTTTGACTACAGTGAGCCATGGAGCAGGCAGCAGAAGGTCCACACACATGGCAGGACTGAGTGTGGCAGTAGCCACCAGAGCCCCTGCCACCAATGTAGTTTCTTCCTAGTTTCCTCTATTGTCCAGGTAACAACACCCTCAGACCCACATCAGCAGGATCTCCAAGGCTCTGGGGACTCCTCTCATGATGTCCCTCCCTCAGGAATGCTGTTTTCCAGCCCCTAGTGGGTTAATCAATGCAGAGCGGTGGCTCAGATCATTGCCCCAGCCGAGGGGAGGCAGGCGATGTTGAAAAACAGTCAGACTTGGACCTGGGAGCCCCCACGAGTCCAGCTGTGCAAAGCCAGGCATCTGCTCCCTGGAGGAAGAGCCCTGAACTAGAAGTCAGAACACCAGAAGTCAGACTCAATCACATACCACCCCTGAGCTTCCATTCCCTCTTTTATAAACTGGGGCTAGTGATCCCTGCCTTATCTGTGTCACAGGGATGTTTGGAGGATTCAATGAGAACCCCCTGAAAATGCTTGTGGTGTTATGGAAAAGCCTCCTTTCCTTCCCCCGTCCCCCCATGGATCCCAGAGTTAGGTCCAGAAACCAAGGAACAGAGTTCTAGGTGGGGTCTATTGCAGGTGATTCTCCTAACACACTCCGTGCTTCATCCCTTTCACCAATGAAGAAACTGGAGCTCCTCTGAGGGGAGAAGCCTCAGTGAGGCTACCAACTTAATTGGTGACTTGAACAAGGGCTCTTGACCCCAATCCATGCTAAGTGGAGGCTGACCTGAGCTGAGGCTTAAAGCCTCAGGCCTCAGAAAAGCTCCAGCCTCTCTGGGCCCCAAAGGAGCCTGGGGTTCCTGCCTAGACACACAGGCTTCTGTCTCTTTGGGGGATAGTAGCAGTAACAAGAGCTAAATGATTAGAGAGCCTTGTCTGAGCAGTCAGCATGTGTTGAATAAGCCTTATAATCCTGTGTAACAGGTACTATAATCCCCATTTTAGAGATGAAGAGACGGAGGTGGAGAGGTTATGTAACTTTTCCCAAAGTCACACTAGGAAATGAGACCCAGAGTTGAACCCAGACAAACTGGCCTCAGAGCCCAGCAGTCCATCGCCCCACTCCCTGTTTTGGGAAGCAGACGATGGGCAAAGCGAGATCTGGTCTCTACCATCAACTGAACTGTTCTCTCTCTGGGAATGTCTGTGGCTGCTGGAAAGAGCAAGATGGCTTCAGAAATTGGCAGTGTGTCCCTGAACAGGGCACTATCTGTCTCTTAAGTATCAGTGTCCTCACCTGTACAACAGGGAGTTGGGGAAGCTAATATTTGTAGCAACTTTTGTTCTCCCAGACCTGGGGTTGGACTCTGCTCCCCACACTGACAACAAAGGTGTGGGGGCTGCAGAGGCCCATTCCAGGCAGACTGATGGTTTGCAGAACCCTGTGGGACCTGCACCCTGCGTGGAACTTGCTCATTGGCTGCACTCAGCCAAAGGCCAAAGGGGGTGGAGGAGGACAATTCCTTACTGGTGCAGCCAAGATCCAGATGGGGTTAAAGGACAACTCTCATCTGTCACCCCACACACACTTGCCCACCCTCTACCCTCCCACTTACCCCTCATCCCACACCCGCACAACTCCTTCCTGCATCCCATCTACCCTTGTAACACCTGAGTTTTCAGTAAGGCAGGGGCTTAGAACCTGAGATGTTGACCCATCACCAGTTTAGAGTTGGGATGTCTGGATAGATTGCTCACTCTGGGAAGCCTCTCAGATGAGAGCATTGAGTGACTGAACCTTGGTGTCTCCCAGCTCTGACCACTTGCTCCTTATTTTCTATCCGGGGAAGTGATAAGAAAACAGGCAGAAGAGGGATTGTGCCCCACTGATTTGGCTCATGGGATGAAGCATCAACCCTCAGACTGAAGGGGGAAGGTGTTTGATTTCAATCAAAAGCACATACTCAGCTGCAGACTCTATCCCCAGCCTGGTGGCCCTGGCCACGGTGCATGTGAGAGGCAACCATTTGATGTGTCTCTCTCACATTGATACTTCTCTCTCTCTCTGTCCCTGCCCACCCCTTCCACTCTCTCTAAAAAAGCAATGGAAAAAATATCCTCCAGTGAGGATTATCAAAAGAAGGAGGAAGAGGAGGAGAAGGAGGAAGAGGAAAAGAGGGAGGAGAGGGAGGGGGACGATTGGGCCTTAGGCTGTACCCTTAAGCCCCTTCGTACCTGCGAAGCCCTGAGTTTGGTTCCCAAAGAGCATCCCAACCTCTCATCTTTGCTCCCACCGGATTCCACATCCCTATACTGAAGCCCCCATCCTTGTTCCTCTGGAATCCTCTGGGGTCCTGGGACCCCCCATTCCTCCCTAGTCTTTGACTCCCACACTCCTCCATGGCTCCTTTGGATCTTTACACCCTCCACCAGTAAAGACAAACACTCTGGCAGTAACACAAGAACCCACCACGTTAGGCTTTCCAGCCATTCTCAGCCAGGCACCCCAGAACCAGGATCCTGCAGAAAACTTGCCCATTCTAATCCATGTGCCCTGGAGTCCCAGGCCTCATCACCTCCTGCTCTCAAGTAGTGGGAGAAAAAGGCCTCGAGAGTACCAATTCCAACAGTAGCCACGAGGCGATTCATGGCTGCAGGTGGCTCCTGGCCCAGAACCTTTAGCCAGCAGCCCTCCTTGGGGCCTATCTAGTAAGAAGACCCACATGTGCCCAGAGCCTCCAAGCCACCTGGGAACCACATCAGCTTGGCTAATACACAATGAGCATCTTTGCCGCTTTTCCAGAGTGGATTTCAGCCTCCACTCCCCCTGAGTTGGGGGCCTTGTACAGTTCACAACCCTGTGTTAGCCCCTCTACTCTTGTAAGAGCAAGGTGCCAATTCCCAACTGATTCAGGGATAGCCAGGATGGCAGCAGTTGTGAGGGTGGATGTAAGCTGGGATAGTACGGAATGGGAAGACTGGGAGAGCAGTCATTATGGTGGAAGTGGAAGGGTGCTCTGAGCTTACTGTATGCCACAAATAATGGGGAGCACATTAGTGAGAAAATGAGGAGAGAGACAGGAGGGAGAGAAAGAGTGGAGGCAGGAGGAGAGCTGGGTGTAGGGGAGACTAACCGGAAGAGGAGACCCAGAAAGCGGGGAGGGGCAGCCCAGTAGCAGTTGTGGGGAAGATGCCCAGCGATGGCCCAGAGGCCTGGGAGCCCTGGAAAGGCAGACAGGGGAGGGGATCGGGTCTCCAGGGAAGAGCAGAGAGTGGGAGAGGAGGAGGAGGGAGAAGGCTTGGGGAGGAGGGATTCGGAGATAAAAGGAGCTACGGCTGCCCGGCCCGGGAGCGCAGCGACAGGAGAGAGGGAGGGAAGCGGAAATTTAAAAGTGAAGATGCAGATAACGCAGCCTGGAGACGGGAACCCGGGTGGGGGTGGGAGGAGGAAGGGGGAGGAGAGTGAAGCGGTGAGTGGGGCGGGAATGGTCCAGTAGCAGGAACTGTGGCCCTGGAGGTCCGAGGTGGGGCCGAGTACTCCACCCCACCGATGTTTGCTGAGAGTCAGGGAGGCGGAAAAGAAACGCTCTCCTGACCCCTGCCAGAGTGCGAGGCCCAGGCCCATCCCCCGCGCATCTCCGGGCTGCGGGGCGCGGGGGGCTGCCGGGTGCGCTTGGCTGCAGCACGGCGCTTTGGAGACTTTATTGCGATGGGGCGATAAGAGGGGCGGGGGCGGGGTCCCGGGGGCCGAGGCGACAGCGCTTTAATTAAAACGGAAATTGCGGCCCCTGCCCGCGCCTGAGGCCGAGGGTTCCAAGCTGCCTGGTAGCTGGGAGCGTGGCTCCAGGACCCCCTCCATCCCCGCCTCACCCGGCCAGCCCCCTCCCGCCAGGCCCTGCCGGACCTGGCGCTGCCTTCATCTCCCAAGTACCCGTGGTCGCGTCGGGCGGGGATCAGTACCCCAGAGCGCAAAGCCTGACGCGTCCCCCCTTTTTCATCCCCCTCCCCCCAACCTCCCACCACCCAGCCTCGGGCGGCGATGAGACAGAGCGGCGCCTCCCAGCCCCTGCTGATCAACATGTACCTGCCAGGTACCAGGGACCAGCTGGGGGCTGGAGGCACAGGGACCCGGAGACACAGGGACCCGGGGCTGGAAGTCTACTCTGGGGCGTGGGAAATGGATTGTTGGGGTCCAAGGGAAGGGGCGCAGTCCAGAGATTCGGATCGTTGGAAGGACTGAGCAATCTAGGGCATCGGAGGACGACGGTAAAGACAGATGGGGAGCTTTGGAGCTTTCATGGGAGGTCTAGAAGACTCGAAGTGAACAGATGGGGAGACTGGGAGGCCGAGGGCGCCCGCTCGGGGGACTGAAAGGGCCCGGAGGGGGAACGGCGGTCTTCGATGTGGTGGGGACTGGGCGCGGGCGGCTCTGGGAGGCGGTAGTCCGCCGGGCGCCGCCCCTGCACCCTCGTGGCTCCTCACCTCCGTACTCCCAGGGTTCCCACCGGCCCAGCCTTCCGCCCTGCTCTTCTCTCCGAGGGGCTCCCGGCGCTCCGGCTCGACAGGCGCAGTCCCGGCCCCGCTTTATAAGGCTCCCGCCGGCCCGTTCGGAAAGCGGATTTCCTTTTTCCTGGACGCGTTTCCTGACTTGGGCGTTATGGAGGGGCTCCGCGCGGCGCGCGCCCCGGCCAGGCTCCGGGAGGAGGAGCCGGGCAGCTTGGGCCCCCAACCTCACGCCCCGGGAACCAAGGCTCCCTTTCTGGAGCCTTGGCCCCAGGGCCCTTTGGGACAAGCCCACAGCCTCCGCCTGGGTCCCTCTGACCGTTTTCTTCTCCTGCCACAGATCCGGTCGGAGAAGGTCTCTTCAAGGAGGGGAAGAGCCCGGGGTGGGGGCCGCTGAGCCCTGCGGTACAAAAAGGTGAGCTGACTGGTGCACTGGGGAGGCGGGGGGCGAGGTCAGAGGACAGGAGCCAGGGCATCCACCGCTACCAGAACAGAGGGTGGGAGGGATGTGCACTGCAGGGCTCTAGGAATCGGAGGGTCCGGGCATTATTGTGGGAAGGATGGGGCGGGGGCGGCATTCGCTTGGCCTGAGCTCCTGCATCTTCTAAGTCTCAGCGCTGGACTTGCAGGCCAGGGCGGAGGGAGAGGGTCCTGTTCCCCACTCACTCCTTGGGGAACAGGGCTGAGGTGCTTGGCATCTTTTCCTTACTGGCAACAGGAGCACAAAGCCCCAGCACTGCTGGGCAAAGAGATGGAAGATTTACGTACTCCCTGACCACTAGCACCACTAGCACCTGGGCCAGCGCCTACCTGACTCCCTGAGCCCCAGCGGCCAGGCTTTTCCCACCAAGTCCCCTGGGTCATTGCTGTGGATTCCTTAAGTTCAAGGCCAGTGCTCTGCAGGTGGCTGCATTACCTTCTGCTTTGCCTTGCTGGTGGGACCTGACTGGCCTTCCAGGCAAAGCCTCCCGACAGCTCCCCATCCAGCCGGTACCCTAAATTTCATAGTTACCCTGATCATACAAACAAGGCTTGCAACAGCTTTATTCGAAAGGGAACAGGACTTCCATCAGGAATGTGTTTCTAGGCCTCTGACGGCACTCTGCATCTGTACGAGCCGCACATTTTAACCCAAAACCCTCCTTTGTTTCTGACCTAAAACCCAATGCTCCCCACCTGGAGCCAGGCAGCTCCTCTCTGGACTCCTGTGGAGGGATTGGGGTTGAAATTACTCCTGTGGAGGGATTGGAGCAGTGTCTGGGTTCCGAGCAAGTCACTGAAAAAGAAAAGGAGATTTCATTGACAGGATGAAATCGGACTTTGAGGAAAATCCATTTTATTCTAAAAGGGAGTGGGGGTGAGTGTATATCAAGATTTGTCTCCGCTTGTCTAATTGAGGCTCCAAGACAGGGGAGAGGGAGTACTGGGGCATTGGACTGTCCTCACACTAATGTCTGGGGGAAAACCTCCTTGTCGATTCCAACAAGCCCAGAATAGGGAGAGGGCAGAAGAGCCTGGAGGCGAACCAAAGATGAGAGAAGGCGGGGAGCTAAGTGCGGCAGTTTCGGGTCTCAGCCCCTCTCCTCAGAGCTGGGCACGTCCCCGGGGAAGTATGGCAACTTTGCAGGCTAGGAATCCCGCCTGTTCCGAAAAAGAGGCCCATCCTGTTCAGCGCCAGCGCCGTGCTCTGCGCACCAGACTGGCGGAGGAGGTGGGGAGGAGCAAGGAGAGCCTTCAGAGGCTGCCCCTTCTCTCATGCCCAGGGCGCCGCTGTCCTCATTCGTGTCTGAGTGGTCCGGCAAAGAAACCAGCTACCACCTCTTTCCTACCCCAGGCGGCTAGCGGAGCGACTGTATGCCTTTAGGGCTGGGCGTTGTCCAGTGGCCCCGTGGTCCCCTTGCACGGTGGTCTCTCTCTGGCTCTCGGAATGTAGTCCCGCCGGGATGGGGCCGTTTGAACGCCGGTGGTTGTGCAGGCTCTGCTCCAATTAGGACTCTGGCCCATGTGGCCACAGGGGCTGATGTCCTGTCCTCGCTCACCTCACGGAGCCCACTGTCTTGCTGCACCGCTGCCTCCATGCACGGGAGGCGATGCTTTGCCCTCGCTCCCAGTTCTCACAAAGCCAGGCTTCGTCCCCCTAAGCGGGGGCTGTGTTTCCATTGTGGAAAAGCGTGGTCACCACTAGGACAGCTTTGCTGATCAGCCCCTCCCTGGCCAGCCGCCCCAGCTGGGTCGGTCTCCCATCTCCTCTCACCCCTTTCCCACCTTCAGCCCCCGATCCCGCCTGTGGCTGACGACCCCCTCCCCGCAGGCAGTGGGCAGATCCAGCTGTGGCAGTTCCTGCTGGAGCTGCTGGCCGACCGTGCCAACGCAGGCTGCATCGCGTGGGAGGGTGGCCACGGCGAGTTCAAGCTCACGGACCCAGACGAGGTAGCGCGACGCTGGGGCGAGCGCAAGAGCAAGCCCAACATGAACTACGACAAGCTGAGCCGCGCGCTGCGCTACTACTACGACAAGAACATCATGAGCAAGGTGCACGGCAAGCGCTACGCCTACCGCTTCGATTTCCAGGGCCTGGCGCAGGCCTGCCAGCCGCCCCCGACGCACGCCCAGGCCGCTGCCGCCGCCGCCGCCGCGGCCGCCGCAGCCCAGGACGGCGCGCTCTACAAGCTGCCGGCCGGCCTGGCGCCGCTGCCCTTCCCCGGCCTCTCCAAACTCAACCTCATGGCCGCCTCTGCCGGCGTCGCGCCCACCGGCTTCTCCTACTGGCCGGGCCCGGGCCCCGCCGCCACCGCCGCCGCCACCGCCGCGCTCTACCCCAGCCCCGGCTTGCAACCCCAACCCGGGCCCTTCGGGGCCGTAGCCGCCGCCTCGCACTTGGGGGGCCATTACCACTAGGCAGGCGGAGACCCAGTCCCGCGCTCAATCCCATCCGCGTCCTGGGGAGGAATCCACGGTTCCTTCGACTTCAGATCGGACTCCGTGGGCCGTACCCTGCCCCCGGGGAAGGGATCTGAAACCGTCTCAATCTTCCTTTCACAGCTGATTCCCCTCACCCCACCTCCCACCTCCTAGGGGAGGGTGACTGTGTCCCCTCACTTGCTCTAACTCCCATCTTCTTCTAGACCTCAGATCCCTGAAGGGAGGTTTGGTTTTCAGGCTTTCCCTGTCGTTTCCTTCCCTCCACCTGCGCTTAGGCCCGGCTCCTGGAAGCCCCCTCCATGATGAACCCTCTCTTTGGAATTTCAAATCTTTTCTCATTTTTTTCCCTCTTCCCCATGGAGCTGTTCGGACCCCATTATGGTGGAGGCCTCTCATAGTCCACCTTCTCCTCCTGGCCTCTTCAGCAGGCTTGGTCAGGGCCACTGCCCCCATGACTTACCTAGGCGCTTTGGGGCCCTCCCTCCCACCTCTGTTCTCTCCGCTGGACAGGCCCTGTGTGTTTCTATTCCCTTCCAGACCATTAAAGCTCCTAAGCTCCCTGCTGCCTCCTCTCTCAATTCCTTGCTTCACCAGAAACTTGTTTCAGGGAGAAACGAAGTGGGATGCCCAGCGAAGGCCTGAGCAGAGGCCTGCCACAGAAGAGCTGGAGAGAGTGAGGGCAGAGAGGCTGGGGTGCTTGCTACTGGAGGGGAGGGAGGAGCCCATGTGATGGGCCCAGCCAAGAGGGAGGTGCCATGTTCCAGACACCGCCCCCCAACACACACACCCTCACCTTGCAGTCGACCTCAGTCTGCCTTCCACCCACACCTTCACCCTACTTTATCCCAATTTCATCCCAACACACATGGTCATCTCACCGTTTCCTATCTCACCCATCCTTCACCTGCCCCTCATCTCATCCCGACCTCCATCTAACTTCGTCTCATCTCCACACAACACAAACTGAACCTTTCCTCAGTCTCTTTCATTTCATCCACTTCTAACCCTTACTCAGACTCTCTCTCTCATTTACAAGCCCAGCCCTGCCCACACATCTCTGTCCGTTCTCTCTGGATTTGCCACCTCATTTTCAGGAGAGACTCCTCCGCCGCCGGCCACTTCCAGCCAGGGCTTGTGTACCCGCCTTCTTGCAAGTGGCGCGCGCCCTCTGCTGGTTGGAGGAGGTTAAGTCCGGGCCATGTTTTGCAGCTAAACCTTGGAAGGCTTTGCTCTGGGTGAGGTGTGTTGGATCTCAGGTGTGTGTCCCCCCTGACCCCAGCGCATTGCCCCCCACCCAACCAAGAGCTGGAGGACGCCAACACTTCAGAAAGAAGGGAGAAAAAGAGGGAACCCCAGCCCTGCATTCCAGATTCGACCTCAGGAAGTCCGAGAAGTGAGTCAAGTGGGTCCTTCTTGCTGGGTCCTTTCCCTCACCATCTAGAGACCTTTCTGAATGCTGCTCCCAAGGGGACCATAGCTCTTACGTTCTCTCTGTGCCTTTTACAAAACGTATTGGCAGGAAAACTGCCTTAAACATGTCCCCATAGATGGAAACAATACCGGGGAAGGTACCTGAAGTGATAGCCAGGACTTCAAGCTGCACAGCAAGGCAACCTCCTTGCTCCTCCTTCGTCTTGGTTCTGGTGTTTCTTTCCCAAGGGCATATCTCTTCCTGGACCAAAGGCTCCTCACTGGTTAGTGGGAGAATGCCTTGGCTCCCACAAGGCAGCTAAGGAGATTTCCCTAAGCCTGTGGGAAGGAAAGAGGAATGCAGGTGGAAGGCTGGACAGTTAGTACAGCCAGAGCCTGAATGCCCCTTCCCAGAGGCCTGATAAAACCAGCCAGGTCCATGGGGAGTCTTGCTTTCTTTTCATTTTATTTTTCTGGCTTTCCAAATCACACACACACGGCATAGAAACGTTGGAAAACACACACATAAGGCCCCATTAAACATTGATGAGAGTGTAATGAAGAACGGGAAAAAGTCACCTACAGTCCCATTATACAGAGGCTACTATACATATCTCTCTGTTATAATTTCCTGCCTTTTAAAATGTAATGGTAGTCTGCTCTAGTTGCCTAGCATTTGGGGTGGTATGTTCCACATCATGTAGACATCATGGGTGGGAGGGTGGGCTCATGTATTCCAGGGAGCAGATGGTCCAGGGAAGGAGTCCTTAGTGACTTGTTCTGATTGGTTTCTCCATAGTCCTCAGTGGCCTTTGGTAGCCTTGCTTGTAATGTCAAACCCTCTCCCAACCCCTAGAATTTCATAAACCCATGTCTCCTCCAGTAATGCATGCTCCATTCAGCCAAGCTTCACTTGTGCAGATGGAATCAAAAGCCCAACTAGCCTTAGCCGGTTTTGCTCAGTGGATAAAGTGTCAGCCTGTGGACTGAAGGGTCCCCTGTTTGTTTCTGGTCAAGGGCATATGCCCGGGTTAACAGCTGGATCCCCAGTAAAAGGCATGCAGGAGTCAGCCAATCAATGATTCTCTCTCATCATTGATGTTTCTATCTCTCTCACTCTCTTCCTCTCTGAAATCAATAATAATAATAATAATAATAATAATAATAAAACATGTTTATACCCAATAATAATAATAATAATAATAAACATGATTATACCCACTTTGTTTGATTGGTTTGCTGCTAGGAAACAGCATGTGTCTAAAGAATCCATCACGAAAGCCTGCCCCATAATTGTTATTCCCCTCAGCATTGACCAGCCCAGAACAGATACCTGCCCTGTGAGTGCAAACCATCTCTCACCAGTGTAACCTTCCAACTCTGTACCCCAGTTCTCCTTCCATGAGTCAGAGAAATTCCTTCAGTTTCTGTGAGGTTGGGAAAGAAGAAAGTAGGTAAAAGCTAAAAAGTCAGACCCTGAACATTGGATTCCTTTTTCTGGAAGAGGAGGCCAAGTTGCTTAGCAATACAGCAGGAATTTGTCAGGAAGGCTCTAGGCAGTCCTGTCCTTTTGCATCCTGCTGCAGGGAGAGATCTGGGGTGACACTAAGTGAAGAAATAAATGCAAAAAGTGGGGAAGGGTCACAGGCTCAGATGGTAATCTTTGGGCCTCATCCTCCATTCCTGTGATCACCTTCCCAATCCCCTAACTCTTTCACTTTGGTTTTCTACCCTTAACACACAGAGGCAGAGAGGCAAGTTCTAGGGTCTGTCTTGCACACACATCTGTGCAATGGTCACACTTGTGACCAAGTACCTAAGGGCCATACTCAGGACCACCTTATAAGGTGTACTGTGCTTTACAGCTGACAAAGCACATCCATATGATTTCACCGGATACTACAACAGCCCCTTTAATTCTATGTGACAGGTGAGGGGGAAAGTCTCAAGGTTCCAAGGATCCAGATTTTCTACAAATCTCAGCATATTTCCATTACGTGTTGTAGCATGGATCTTAGTCTAGGCATTAGAACACACTATTCCATGTGCTCTCAATTTGAAGTTTTTTTCATGCCTAGTGTCTCCAGATACTCCAAGGTACTTCTTCCCTCCCACCAGTCACAAAGCAGGTAAGTTGTGATGGCAGAGGTCAGCTGTTCTTCCCTGCTGGCCACAACCAGCCTGGGGCAGGGGTATCCCTGGAATGGAGAGTACAAAGGGGGCCTGGCCTTCTAGCCCAAAGGCCTACAGTCTGTGATAGGCCAGGCTGACACAAATATCTACACACTAGCAGCTGAAGCAAGCCTCCTGGCTGGCATTCCAGAGAGAGGCATGTGGGTCCTACTGGGACCAAGTCCTGGCAGCAAGGAGTAAGCATAAGTCACCCAGTCACAGATAGCTCATGTGAGGCCCAAGCCTCCTTAGCTCCGTGCTGCCTCAGGGGCCAGCAGAGCTGGTCAGAGCAGCCCTAGGCTCCATTCTGGACTCTGAAGTGGTCCCTTAGCCCCTTTGTCTATATTTATTAGAAGTGCTGACTACCATAGCAATGGTTGTTACCCTAGCAACAGTTACATTGTCATTCCTATCATAGTCATTAGATAGACACAACAAATCCGAGATCCTTGTTTCCATCTCATAGATGAGAAAATGAAATTCAGAGAGGTTGGATAACTGTTCTAGGTCAACAGTTAGTAAATGATAGATTAAGGGCTCAAACCTCTGACTCATAATCTTTTGTTCATCACATCACAATATCTTTACATGTCAGAGGGGAGAAAGGTGTCCCAGGGAGACATTCAGCCACTCTGTCCTCTATTCCCAAATTACACACACCAGGCGCATGTAGTTCAGTTGGTGTTCTGAGTATTCTTTTTAAAATATATTTTATTGATTTTTTTTTTTTTTTTTTTTTACAGAGAGGATGGAAGAGTGAGTTAGAAACATCGAAGGGAGAAAAACATCAACCAGCTGCCTCCTGCACACACCCCAGGAGAGAAACATCAACCAGCTGCCTCCTGCACACACCCCACTGGGGATGTGCCCGCAACCAAGGTACACGTCCTTGACCGGAATCGAATCAGTCCCCAGGCCAACGCTCTATCCACTGAGATACCAGTTACGGCCTTTCTTGCACTTTGGCCACCACGACCCCCGAACCCCGCTGGGGATCCCATGGCGATGGCGGGACCTCCAGGGTAGACAGTGCAGTGAGCTGTTCCCGCCAAAAGGGTGCCCCAGGGACCCTCCAACAACGATGGCCGGTGGCTGCGGCCGGGGAGAAGCCAGGAGGCCTGCACCTGCCCTGGGCGCCCTCAGGCCTGCAGCCCCGTCTCTCTCTCCCCGTGTCCGCATGCCTCCCGGTGCTCCCCGCAGATGGGGGTGTTCTGAGTATTTTGATCTAAGTTTTATTGACATCCAAAAAATGGTTATGTGTATGTATATATAGCAAGATACACAAAACAGAGTATTCCGTTTTAAAAGAAATAAAAAAGCAGCTGGCAAATATGAGAAGAACTTCCATAAGTTGTGAACAAGGCAAGGATGTCCTTTCCCCCTTCTGACCAGTCTTTATTGCTTCCACTAAACACTCCACTAG